CTCACTCTGTTGCCAGGTGCTAGGCTGGAGTGCAGTGGCACAATCTCGGCTCACTGCAACCTCTGCCTCCCGGGTTCAAGCAATTCTCCTGCCTCAACCTCCTGAGTAGCTGGGACTACAGGTGCACGCCACCGCGCCCAGCTAGTTTTTGTATTTTTAGTAGAGACGGAGTTTCACCATGTTGGCCAGGATGGTCTCGATCTCTTGACCTCGTGATCCGCCCGCCTCGGCCTCCCAAAGTGCTGGGATTACAGGCTTGAGCCACCGCGCCCGGCCCAGATTTTTTTTTAATTTTTAATTCACAACTGTGTTCAGTGCCTAGAACAGGTGCTCAGTAAATATTTATTGAAAGAATGAATTCCTTTTTGAATCTCTTGTATCTATCACCAGATACTCTTGTATCTAGTACCTGCTTGAATAGTAGATACAGTAGATAGAAAGCTTTGCTGAATGAATAGCTCTGCCTTTTGTCTTTTTTGATATGCATATATCTTTTAAAAAATAATGAATAGACCTTATGTTTTAGATCTGTTTTAGTTTACAGCAAAACTAAGCTGAAAGAAAATATCCCCTCCCACAAACATCCTGGGCCACACAGCCTCCCCTACCACCAACATCCTGAATTAGCGTGGAATATCTGTTAGAACTGATGAACCAACATACATACATGGTTATATAGATGAACTAATATGGATAAAACATAAGATACATTATAAGCCAAAGTCCACAGTTTGTTAGGTTTTGCTCTTTGTGTTGTACAGTCAAGATACATTTAACAAATGTATAATTGAGATGCAGTCTGTAATTATCAGACTGCACTGCCCTAAAAATCCCTTGTGCTTCACCTATCCATCCCTCCTTCCCTGCACATCCCTGGCAACCACTCATCTTTTGTTTTTACCATCTCCATAGTTTTTCCTTTTCCAGAATGTCACATTGTTGGAATCATACATCATGTAGTCTTCTCAGATTGGCTTCTTTCACTTAGATTTATACATTTAAGATTGCTCCAGGATTTTTTTGTGGCTTCATAGCTCATTTCTTTTTAGCACTTAATATTTCACTGTATAGATGTACCACAGCTTATCTGTTCACCCATTAAATGACATCGTAGGTGACTTCAAGTTTTTGCAATTATGAATGAAGCTGCTATAGACAATGTTGCACAGGTGCTTGGAAATAAGCTTTCAACTGGTTTGGGTAAATACCAAGGTGTGGAGTTGCTTAATCTTACAGTAAAAAGAGCTTGGTTAAGAAAGGAACTCTCATTCTTTCCTTTTGCTCCAGGTCCTTATCGACATTTGGTGTTGTGTTCTGGATTTTAGCCATTCTAATAAATGTATATCAGTATTTCAGTTTTTTCAAAACATTGTAATTCTTTAATGACCTATGATGTTGAGCATCTTTTCATATGCATATATATGTGGTGAGGTTATCTGTTCAGAGCTTTTCCCCACTTTTAATCAGGTTGCACATTTCCATATTGTTGCATTTTAAGAGGGTTTTTTTTGGGGGGGTATATTTTGGGTCATAGTCCTTTATCAGGTATGTCTTTTGTAAATATTTTCTCCCGGTCTGTGGCTTGTGTTCTCATCCTCTTGACATACATTTTTTGTTTTTACAGCATATAATCCTGTTGCGCTTTTTTTTTTTTTTTTTTTGCTTTTGGGACGGAGTCTCTCTCTTATCACCCAGGCTGGAGTGCCGTGGTGCAATCTTGGCTTACTGCAGCCTCCTGCTCCCAGGTTCAAGCGATTCTCCTGCCTCAGCCTCCCCTGTAGCTGGGATTACTGATGCCTGCCACCACGCCCAGCTGATTTTTGTATTTTTTAGTAGAGACGGGGTTTCACCATGTTGGCCAGGCTGGTCTCGAACTCCTGACTTCAAGTGATCCGCCCACCTCAGCTTTTCAAAGTGCTGGGATTACAGGCGTGAGCCACCGCGCCCGGCCTGTTGTGTATATAATTTTATTACTTGCTTTTTAATATAACATGAATAGCATGCAGTTCCAATTTTGCTCTAGACTTCACAATTACCATTTTAAAGGCTGCAAAATAATCATCACATTTCCTCCTCGATAGCCTCACTTTACAGAAGAGAGAGAAATGCTAACTTGCCTATGGTCTTAGCGCTGCTAACGCGCAGAGCTCCGAATCCTCCGGATAGCGCCCCCGCTGTAATCCACCCAGTGCTTTCCGCCAGGCCCAGCTGCCTCTCGAGGGCGCAGGTTTCGGTTTCCTCTTATTTTAGGCCGCCCAACTCGCTTGAAAACAAAGTCCGCGATCCTCTAGCCGGCAAGAGAGCTCCGGGATTCAGACCCTGGGCGCGAGGCCCCGCAAGTGGCGGGGCGGCGCTCTCGCAGTCCTCCTCCCGGACAGGGGCCAGGGCAGTGGGAGGAGGCAGCGCGAGCAGTCCACGCCCTCCTGCCAGGCGCGCTCAACGCGGACGGCGGACAGCGAACCAGCTGCCCGAGCGCCGCAAGGTCCGCGGGCCCACAGCTAGGGCTCCCGAGCGCTGCCGGCCAGGCGGGGCCGGGGAAGCGCAGCGGGACTCGGTTGGACGGCGCGGCCACGGAGACTAGCGCGGTAAGCGGGCTGACGCCGCGGGGGGGGGGGTCACTCCCTAGGCCGCCGCGCTCAGTCCCTGTGACCCCCTAGTCCGGGCTCAGGCGCCCTCTCCCGCACGCCCCGGCTTGGCTGCCGCGGCGACGGAGTAATCTCGAACTCTCCCGCCGCCGCTTCTTCCCTCACCCAGGCCCCTAGACGGTTAGGCGCAAAAATGAAAGTAACTCTCGGGTCTCAGCGCAGAGGCTCGGGGCGGCCGCGGGCTTCCTGGAAGGAGCGGAACTGCCCGGCTCGGGCGCGGTGGGCGGAGCCCCGCTGGTGCCGGAAGTCGGGCGGTGGGCGGGGCTGCGGGCGCTCCCAAAAGTCACGGGGCCGCCTGCTGTCCTTCCCCATCCGGAGTCCACTGGCGGCTTCCGCTCCAGGGGTCTGGGCGCTGGACTGCGGGCGGCGGACACCTGCACTCAGCCGCGATTACGACGGGACGGTGGAATAGGCCGTCTCTCAAGCCGATAACATCGTTATTGTTTTGGTGGAGAGGGTGGGCTCTTACTGCCGAATCATTAAGAAAAAAAAATGTGGGCCCTTCCCTTACCAACCCTTTGAAAGCGCCTTTTACTGTTGCACTGGAGGCTGCAGCAGGTTCCAAAAACAAAAGCGCTTCTGCGTGATCTGAGACGACTGAGGATGAATGTGCTAACCCTAGCAGGGTTCTTTGATGGTCACTGGCATGTGCTTTTGTGAAGTGCTACAGACCCTCTTCAGGGTTGTGAAGAGGATAGGCTGCATCCTCCTTCCCTAAGCATTTGACAGAGCCTCACAGGGATGCAGGGTTTCGATGGGGGGAGGCCTGGGGTTGTTCACTTATTTCTCTCTTGCTTACCATTTGGCTCTTCCTTAATTAGAGCTCTTTCTTATCTGGGGCAAAGCAGGAGGCTTTTCCAATCATTAATTCTTCCCTGATTTACACTTGAAGAAGCCAAGGCAGGAGGTGAACTTTGAAATGTGCAGTGACATTCCATTACTGCCAGGAAGATGTATTCAGTAAGAGGAAATTGTGATTAGTAATGTGGAATACTGGGACGGGCAGGGTGGCTCACGCCTGTAGTCCCAGTACTTCGGGATGCCGAGGCAGGAGGATCACCTCAGGTCAGGAGTTCAAGACTAACCTGGCCAACATGGCAAAACCCCGTCTCTACTAAAAAAAAAAAAAAAAAATTAGCCAGATATGGTGTCAGGTTCCTGTAATCCCAGCTACTTCGGAGGCTGAGGCAGGAGAACTGCCAGAACCCCGGAGGTGGAAGCTGCAGTGAGCTGATATCATGCCACTGCACTCCAGCCTGGGTAACAGAGTGAGACTCTGTCAAAAAGAAAAAAAGAAAAAAAAAAAGGTGGAATATTGCAGCTCTTCTATTCATAAAAAGTGAAGAGAAGGCTAGGCTTGTTTAAAATGAAATTTGGAGTGTATCATTATTACTGTAAAGTAGCAAAAATGGTAACTTTAATACTCATTTTCCTGTATCTGCACTATTCTGAGCCCCAGAGATATGTTGTACTTTCAGGATTGTGAATATTAATGAGTATTAAGAAAAGTTCTTAATTAACCTCTTCCAAACTGGGCAGCCTACTTTTTGGTGCTTATTAATCTATAATGTGTTAACACCTATATGATCTGGGAATTTGAAGAAAATATTTAACTTCCCATGCTTTAGTTGGATATTACACTCTAGCAAAAATGGTTGACTGTATTAACCTGTAGAACATTGATTCTGAACCATCTGTTTCCTGTATTTTTATTTTTTGAGACAGAGTCTTGCTCTGTCACCCAGGCTGGAGTGCAGTGGCACAGTCTCACCTCAATGTAACCTCCGCCTCCTGGGTTCAAGCAGTTCTTCTGCCTCAGCTTCCCAAGAAGCAGGAATTATAGGCATGCACTACCACGCCTGGCTAATTTTTGCATTTTTAGTAGAGACAGGGTTTCACCATGTTGGCCAGTCTGGTCTCAAACTCTTGGCCTCAAGCAGTTTGCCCACCTCAGCCTCCCAAAGTGCTAGGATTACAGGTGTGAGCCCCTGCACCGCGCCTTCTTGTATTTTAAAAGTTTATTCTGTACTTTCCCTATGTTTCTGACTTGTAACATATTCATTTAATATAGATGAGTAAGGCTGTAAGAGTAGGTCTTTGCAAGTAGGATTTTTCCAAAGACAAATTATTTGATATCTAGAGAAGTAGCATGTATTAGTGAGCCAGTAGTGAAAGTTCGAGTGAAGGGACAAAGATTTCATTCCAGGATTTGCCACTTTAGATGAATCATTTAGCTCCAAATCTTACTTAGTTTCTTTATTTGTAAATTGAAATCATGATACAATTTGCTTCAGGGCTAATGCATGATGATACGTGTTTAAACTGTTTTTCAGTTCTTGTCTTTTGCTGGCCCTTTCTTGCTGGTCCTTAGTCTTTCTTGCTCAGAGCTTTTGTTTATCTGGGCAAATCATCAGGCTGCTGTAATCAAGGAAGGTGGAGAAATCCTCTGGTCGCTTGGATAACTGAGCAAAATCAGAGTTCTATTAGTGGGAAGAAAGGGGGCAATGGCAGGTGGGCAACCAGCCTTTTGTGCCATACTCGTTATGAGAGGGCATCATAGAAAAATGGGGAAAAAGTTAATTAGAATATTTTGATATGTAGACTTACCCTGCCTGAACAGACAATCGGTGAAATTTCTTGGGATTTCACATTAGTTTCAATAGAAAAAAATTCACTCTCCTAAGTCCCTGAATTAATATTTATTGATGTAGAACATTTACAAATTCCATTCAAATGGACATAATTGTTAGTTAACATTTGTTGATAATACAGGCCAGCATGTCTTTCTTATTACATGGCTTTGTAATAACATGATTATGCAATATGGCCACATAAGCTACCTAAATTCAGTGTTTTTGGATATCCTTCATTCAGCTACTCACAAGGCCTTCCTAAGAGATTCAGCACTTATAAAGTTGAATCTTTTATGGGGAAAAAAGAGGGGTAGATAGTAAAAACAAAATAAATCACTGGAAACCATGGAAAAGATGCATAAGATTAAGATCAGACTAGCGAACTCGAAGACTATAAGGAGAACCGATTTGGGTCAAGAGCTAAGTTCCCAAAATCCAGTGGACCCACCTGGAGGCCTTCCCCATCTCACCTCATGGAGGAGCCCCTGCAAGGTCCTAGTTGGTCTTGACAAATTTGAGGAGATGTGGCTGAGACCGAAGGGGAGATACGAGAGATTTCTACTTTAGGACTCCTCATAATGTAGAAATCTTTTACCCAAAAGAGCATTTTTCAGGGCGTGTTGTAGTTCCTGCCTGTTTCTTTACTGTCTGTGAGCATTTTTAAATGTTATTAAACATTCTTAGACAACATCACTTTTGCAAACTGCTAGATGTGTTTCAGAGTATTGATGGGCATAACTGATTCTCTCCTCTGTACATGCTAAGTGTGTTACCTACTTTTGCTGTTCTGTGTAATGCCACCAGGAACAGCTTTGCACATAATCTTTTTTTTTTATTTCTGTTTTTATTTTTTTGAGACAGAGTCTTGCTCCATCATCCAGGCTGTGCAGTGGTGCGATCTCGGATCATGGCAACCTCCACCTCTCGGGTTCAAGCAATTCTCCTGTCTCAGCCTCCCAAGTAGCTTGGATTACAGGCATGTGACATCACGCCTGGCTAATTTTTGTATTTTTAGTAGACATGGGGTTTCACCTTGTTGGTCAGGCTTGTCTCGAACTCCTGACCTCAGGTGATCCACCTGCTTCAGCTTCCCAAAGTGCTGGGATTACAGGCGTGAGCCACTGCGCCCAGCCTGCACATAATCTTTATCAGCATCTCTGATTTGATCCCTCAGAGTAAAGAAATACTGAGTAAAGGAATTATTTCATTTAAAAAAATAATTTTAATTTTACATTAATTTGTGTTTATTGTGGAAAATTTGGAAAACATAGTAAAAGTGTAAAGAAGAAAGTAAAAATCATCCTACCATCAAGATATAATCCTTGTTAACATTTTGGTGTCTTTATTTCTTTTTTTTCTCCGTACCTATATCTGTGTCTATTTACATAAATATATACACACACACACACATACACACAAATGTTAATATAATTTTTACAGATTTATTCTTTAAAAACAATTTTGGATGGCTATATAATTATCTTAGGAGTGTTCTGTAATTCGTTTCACAGTATTTCTTATTTTTGGACAATTAAATAGTTCTCTTTTTAAAATAGTTATTCATTTGATGATGGACCAACATATGTTGGGTTCTGCTAGGCACTGGAGATGGTGCACAAGACAAGTTTTCTGCCTTCTTTGAACTCTGTGAGAAATAATTCTCCATTATAGTGCTGTCTTAACTATGAAAAGGTCTAATGGGAAGACTTAGGATGGCTTCCTTCACAAAATGACAGTTCTCTGAGACCTTCTAGCCAGGTAAGAAGTTGGAAGAATGTGGCCTAAGAGGGTGGGAAAGATGACCCTTATGGGATGGGGAAGACTTCATAGTTCTGCATGCTCCAGTGGTCTGCAGGAGATGAAAAAGGAGGCCTAAAATCAATGTTATCTTTTATGCCTTCTGTCTCCACCTCCTCCTACCTCATTCTCACCAGGATTGGTCAGTAGGGCTCTGCTGACAGTGATCACAGAGAATGCTGGCGTTCTCATAGCCCAAGGAAACACCATTCGCGTGGATAAACACATGTGGGTGGCTGGGCCAACCATAGCCAGAGACATAAAGGAGGCAACAAATGTGTTTTCACAAATATATACATATGTACATATATATGCATATACAAATGTATATATCTACGTTACACATATATGTATATATACATATATGTGCAAATATATACAAATATATTTATATATTTTATATATATAATACATATACAAATATATACATATATATTTTTTCTCATCATCCTTACCACTTCTGTGAGGTGGTCATTATTGTTTTGCAGATGAGGAAATTGAGGCATAAGTAAGTGTCCCAAGGACACAGCTTGGTGAGTCACAGAGCTACTGAGTCACAGAGCTAGAGTTCACACTTGTAGTGAACTCCCGTGCTCTTGGAGCTATGGCTCCTGTCTCTTACCTCCAGTGCGTTCCTCATCCCGCCCCTCGGTCTTCAGGCCTTCATCTAGGCAGCCCCCCACTTCCACCCACTGTCCATGTCCCACTGATGTGCTTGTTTCCGGAGGTCACTTCCTCTTGTTTGGTAATGTCATGTTCTAAGGAAGAAGGTCTGTGCGAGCTTCCTCTGCTAGACAGAGCTGGCTCATAGTCTTAGATGAGGTGTAGAAGCCTGGTTACTTGAGTCACCTGTAGCTGGCCACCGTACAAGACCATGGGCAGCCTAGGGGTTTCCAGAATCCCCTCTCCTAAGATAGTCCTTTTTTCTTTTTTTAACTCCCTGCCTTCCAACATTTTATTATGAAAAACACCAAAGTGCAAAGGTTACAGCCACCATGAGTATCATCTTACACTATTTGCTTCATCATGTAACTCTCCATCTCCTTTTCCCTTCATCTGTCCGTCAGTCTATCTGACTTTTTGATGTATTTCCAAGTATACATCAGTACACTTACTATTGCTGTTTGGTGTAGCTGCAGGATTGATCTCATGGTGAATTTTTCTTTTGTGTTTTATAATTTTGGAAAGGGAGCTCATGTTAAATTTCTATCTGTGGGAATTCTATCTGGCCTGGCTTGAGGGTGTTGTTTGCTTTAGCCTATAACTTCAGGATGGCATCAGCCTGTGACCACTTCCTTTATAAAAGTTCATAGTTTAAGCGATCCTCTCAATTCAAAGTCTAAATCTATTTTAAGACAGTCCGAAGGTTATAAATTTGCACAGACCTTTTTTTCTTTTAATACCTTGGGCGTAGTCCAAGACAAATATGTTTGTTTGCTACGGGCTGCTTTTTTTCTAGTTCATCCTTTCATCAAGGGGTAGCACATTGAGCAGTGCTGTGTTAAGGGGGCAGCCTTCATTCCAACCTGCTTCTTTTCTTGCATTCCCTGACCTCAGCTGGGCTTTAAACCTCAGCTTCTGGATGGCAAGGTTGGCACTGCCCTCTGTGAGCTACTGCCTGCCTCTGGCACCCTGTTTATTTTCTGTCCCTAGAGTTCTTTTCCTTTTCACGGAGTTCTGGTATGCATTTGAAGGGATGTTTGTATTATGTTGTCCAACATACGTATGTCCTGTATGGCTGGAGTTGTCTTAAAGTTTTCTAATGCTCCATATTGCCAGAAATGAAAAGGCTGAGGGAATAAACATTATAGTCTCCTGTGATTCTTAGAAATATGAAAAATAGCTCATCTTAGAGACTATAAGTCTATTCTCAACAATCCAAGGCACACCAAGCATGTGGTGGAATGCTACAAAAGTTTTTAAAATAATGATCTTCTCTGCCAGGTGCAGTGGCTCACACCTGTGATCTCAGAACTTTGGGAGGCTGAGGTGGGAGAGTTTGAGACCAGCCTGAGCAACATAGTGAGACCCCCATCTCTACAAATAATTAAAAAATCAGCTGGGCATGGTTAATAATTTTAAAAAATCCCTGGGACCTGTGGTCCCAGCTACTCAAGGAGGCTGAGGGAGGAGGATTGCCTGAGCCCAGGAGATCGAAGCTCCAGTGAGCTATGATTGCGCCACTGCCCTTCAGCCTAGGTGACAAAGTGAGACCCTGTCTCCAAAGGAAAACAAAACAAGCAAACATATATTATGATCTGTTTGCCCTGAGGTGGCCTCTCTGTTTTATTTACAGGGTACAGCTCTGACGGGGGAAAAAAAGAGATACCGCTTTGGGCATTCTGAGCATTCAGAATGGAACCAGACATATCCTTGAATGCCATTAAGATGAAATCCAGTGACTTCCTGGAGAGGGCAGAACTGGACAGCGGAGGCTTCGGGAAGGTGTCTCTGTGTTTTCACAGAAACCAGGGACTCGTGATCATGAAAACAGTGTACATGGGGCCCAAATGTACCGAGTGAGTGGGAAGCAGGGGTGGTGGGCTAAACTCTGAATGGGGTGGGGACGTTGGCTGCTGTGGAGCCACTGGTGGATAGGGTGAGACGGAGCCTGCCAAGATGTCAGTGTGACAATGGTGCTTATGGTTGTTATTGTCACTGATGAGGACTCTGAGGCTGGGTAGTGAAGGGCTCACAGCTAGTAAGTAATGGAAGAGACACGAACAAGAAAGAAGTAGAGAAGGACAAAAAGATAAGTGTGGTGAGGGGACAAAAAGGAAATGGGAGGATGAGTGAAGACAGACCTATTTATTTGCTTCAAATTTTCAGTGAAGACCAGCCCTAAGTATGAAACTAAAAAGGCGGTTCATTCCTGAAAGGTTCTGAGAGACTTCCCTTTAAAGCAACCAGTGGCGTGGTTTCACTTCTTTCCCTCCGTGTCAGAGCGATTGTGAGAGAGGTTGATTTTTTTTTTAATCACAATGTCCAGCAAGGTCTTTTTTTCAGGTTACCTTGCTGCTGTTCATGTACTTTTCATTCATTGGTTCATTCATTCGGTCATTGACTTACATTTTTTGAGCATACATTGCCAGTTACTGGGCAGGAGAACTGTGAAGAAGCGAGAAACTGCTCTGCCTTCTAATGCTTCTGGCCTGTGCCTGGAAGAGATCAGTACAGACCCAAGCATGACCCAAGCATGTGGGGGTGATGTGTTGGAGGTGTGCGCCAGGCTCTTAAGGCGCTGGATCTGCCAACCTCAGCATAGCACTTTTCCTGCCCACAGGCACAGTGAGGCCCTCCTGGAGGAGGCGAAGATGATGAACAGACTGAGACACAGCCGGGTGGTGAAGCTCCTAGGCGTCATCATAGAGGAAGGGAACTACTCCCTGGTGATGGAGTACATGGAGAAGGGCAACCTCATGCACGTGCTGAAAGCCGAGGTAGAGAGTGCCCCTCCACATGGGGATCCCCAGCGCTGGGGCCCTGACCGTCTTTTATGGCTGCCTTTGTGGTGTTTGTTTGTAGCTTGTTAGTATAAAATTTGCAAATTGCTCAGTAGTTTGAATTTTCTTTTCCTTTTTTTATACAGACAAGGCCCAGGCTGAACTCAAACACCTGGTCTCAAGCGTTCCTCCCACCTTAGCCTCTCAAGTAGCTGGGATCACAGGCCTGATTTCCTGAAGTCAGTTTCTCCTTAAAACATCTATGCCTTGATCTGGCGCAGTGGGTCACGCCTGTAATCTCAGCACTTTGGGAGGCTGAGGCAGGAGGATCACTTGAGCCTTGGAGTTAAAGACCAGCCTGGATAACATAGTGAAACCCTGTCTCTACAAAAAATAAAAGGTGCGGCCGGGCGCGGTGGCTCAAGCCTGTAATCCCAGCACTTTGGGAGGCCGAGGCGGGTGGATCACGAGGTCAAGAGATCGAGACCATCCTGGTCAACACGGTGAAACACCGTCTCTATTAAAAATACAAAAAAAAAAATTAGCTGGGCATGGTGGCGCGTGCCTATAATCCCAGCTACTCAGGAGGCTGAGGCAGGAGAATTGCCTGAACACAGGAGGCGGAGGTTGCGCTGAGCCGAGATCGCGCCATTGCACTCCAGCCTGGATAACAAGAGCGAAACTCCGTCTCAAAAAAAAAAAATAAATAAATAAATAAAAATAAATAAAAAAAAAATAAAAGGTACATATGAACAGAGCAAGACCTTGTCTCTGAAAAAAAGAGAAAATCTTCCTTGCCTTTTGCTGCCCTGAGAAAGTTTTCTTCATTCTTGATCCTGTGGACAGTCCTTTGTATCACTCAGTCTATGTCTCAGGAATGTGATTGGCTGTTCACCATACCTGTCTGCCACTCTGCAATCTGCAATTCAAAGACAGGCCCTGTCTTCATGATGCAGACATCGTCTGATGTGTAGTATATGCATGATGGGATGACAATTAAATATGGATTGATTGGTGAAAGCATGTACACTGTAAGTAAGAGCAGATAGAATATTCGTGGTTGCATGTTGATATCATTCAACGAAGTTTCATTTTAAATCAAATATAGAACATAAGTGGCAACAACACTAGATAGGATTTAAAACAAAAATAAAAATTGTTTACCAAAACCAAATCATTGAAAACATTTTTAAAAACTTGTGTGCCTGTTAAGATGAAGGCCTTGTGCTAGTTGCTCATGAATCAATAGCTAATATGATGCAGGCAAGTAAAAGGAGGCAGATCAGTAAATGAGTGGTATGGTGTGGTGATGGTTTCTTTTCTTTTTTCAGAGAACGAGGTTTCACTGTGTTGCCCAGGCTGGAATGCAGTGGCATAATCATATAGTGCACTGCAGGCTTGAACTCCTGGCCTCAAACGATCCTCTCATCTCAGCCTCCTGAGTAGCTGGGACTATAGGCATGAGCCACTGCACCCAGCTGTATGATGGTATTTTTTTTTTTTTTTGAAAGGAGTCTCACCCTGTCACCCAGGCTGGAGTGCATCGGCACGACCTCGACTCATTGCAACCTCAACCTCGTCAGTTCAAGCGAGTCTCCTGCCTCAGCCTCTTGAGTAGCTGGAATTACAGTTGTCTACCACCATGCCTGGCTAATTTTTGTATTTTTAGTAGAGACAAGGTTTCACCATATTTGCCAGACTCGAACTCCTGACCTCATGATCTGACTGCCTCAATGTCCCAAAGTGCTGGGATTACAGGCATGAGCCACTGCTCCCAGCCAGTGGTGTTCTGATAGACATACTCCTCATCTGCTGTGGGATTACAGAAGAGGCACCCACTCAGTCTGGGATAGACAGGAAAGGCTTCACATCTGAAACACAAGTAGATGTTTAGAAGCAGAGAATTAGGGAGTAAGTGTTCCAGGCAGAGAATACTATGTAGAGACTGCCAAATTTGGGGAACTGTAAATTCCTGGGTTTGGCTAGAGTGTAGATAGCACAGGGCATGGGGTGGGGTGGTGGGATGTGGCTGCCTTTATGGCAAATACTCCCACTTTTCCACTTTCTTCTCCCACCCCACAATTGCCAAGTCAACAGACATCTCACAAAAATGCCTTTGGGAAGGAGAAGAGGTGATACTTACACACGTGGTATTGTAGTTTGATCAGATTGCTCTCCTCCCCAGAACTCGAGAAGATCAGCTGTTTGAAGTAAACCTTTGATTGGGAAATAAGTCTACGGTCTCCCATCCAACTGCTAACCAGGCCCAACCCTGCTTAGCTTCTGAGATGAGCGAGAAATCATTTGGGGCATGAGGCATTCTGCAGGATCAGGGAAAGTTCAGGTGCACAGTGTTTGGACTTAGGACATCAAGAGGACCTGAGAGAGAAGCAGAAAGAGAAGAGAGAGGGGGACCAACTTTGCTTGCTCAGAAGTTTTTCCTAAGTTCAAAGGTATACGAAGGAAGAAGGGAAAACATCTCTTTTGCTACTTTCTGTATAGTGGTGATCACGCTATTTTATTTTTTTTTGTGATAGAGTCTCGCTCTTGTTGCCCAGGCTGGAGTGCAATGACACGATCTCGGCTCACTGCAACCTCCACTTCCTGGGTTCAAGCGATTCTCCTGCTTCAGCCCCGGAGTAGCTGGGATTACAGGCATGCAACCACCATGCCTAATTTTTGTATTTTTAGTAGAGACAGGGTTTCACCATGTTCCCTTGTATTCTTTTTTTTCTTAATGTTATTTTTACACACATTTCCATGGCATTGTTCATGTTCTTACCGCAAACTTAGTATGACATCATATGAGTATCCCATTAAAAATGCTTGTTCGTATATTTATTCATCCATTCATTCAACAAACATTCCAGGTACAATCCTAGGTTCTAAAGATGCAGTCCTAGCCGGGCGCGGTGGCTCATGCCTGTAATCCCAGCACTTTGGGAGGTTGAGGTGGGCAGATCACCTGAGGTCAGGAGTTCGAGACCAGCCTGACCAATATGGTGAAACCTCATCTTGAAAAAAAAAAAAGTATATCAAAGAGGAAAAGAAGAAAAAACAAAAAACAAAAGATACAGTCCTAAATAATATATATTTTTGTTCTCAAGGAGCTTAATTTTATAGTATTTTATACATTACCAAATGATTGTGGGATTTTGTTTTTACACGAACAACATACAACATGAATACCTTTGCCCCCTCTCCCCTGGAATGAAATCTTGTTTCCCAGTGACAGCAGTGCCATGGTGCATCTGTTGGAAGGAAACCTGGTTACCCTGTCCTCAGGCTCAGATCCCACCACCCTTTCATGAAACAGTTGCTTTGGCCTATTTGATTACCTTTCCATTTCATAGACTTAATATCACCTGTTTTAGATGAGTACTCCGCTTTCTGTAAAAGGAAGGATAATTGTGGAAATCATTGAAGGAATGTGCTACTTACATGGAAAAGGCGTGATACACAAGGACCTGAAGCCTGAAAATATCCTTGTTGATGATGACTTCCACATTAAGGTAAACCATCAATGGTAGGCTTCCAGAAAGTTGGGTGATTTTAGTTTTGATTCTCCAATGTAAGTTCATTCTTATAAATTGTAGAAGCTAAAGGAAGACCTAGCTCGGGTTATGACTGGTGATGATGGTGCCAAAAGGCTCTACCAGTGTTTGGAAGGAAAGATGGGATGGGATCAGGAGATAACTGGCTAACTCATATCTTTTGGGGAAGAGTGGAATTGAATGGGGTAGGTAAGAAGGCCTCTTTCCTAGATTGTGTTTTTCTCCTGTTAGACTTGAGATGGAAACATTCAAAGATTGCCTTTTTCATCCTGGAATGGGCCACTGGCACCATAATTTTCCCCAGGAAATCTGTGTCACCAAGACTCCCCTCCTCTGGAAAAGCAGGGGAATGTGAAGATGTGTGCAGAAAATCCTTAAGAATTCAGATGTGGCCTGAGATTGAGATCAGCAGTGAGTTGATCATTTTGGCATCAAAAACCTCTACTTAGAAATTTTGTTTTCTATTTTTATTAATTGTTTACCTCTGTCTGTATTTTGAAAAATCAGTTTCCAGCTGGGTGTGGTGGCTCATGCTTGTAATCTCAGCCCTTTGGGAGGCCGAGGTGGGTGGATTACCTGAGGTCAGGAGTTCAAGACCAGCCTGGCCAACACAGTGAAACCCAGTCTCTACCAAAACTACAAAAATTAGCTGGGTGTAGTCGTGGGTGCCTGTAATCCCAGCTACTCGGGAGGCTGAGGCAGGAGACTCACTTGAACCCGGGAGGTGAAGGTTGCGGTGAGCCAAGTTCACGCCACTACTCTCCAGCCTGGGTGACAGAGCTAAACTCCATCTCAAAAAAAAAAAAAAAAAACTTTGACCACGTTCTTTCCATTGCAGTAAAGGGAACAAGGGAAAAGGATTTTTCTTTGGTTCATTCAAGGGCAGGACTTGGCTAGGGGGACCGTCATATCTAATTGGCTTTCACAGCAGGAATCCAAGCACTAGCCTCTGAGAGGGGAAGTGGAAGGGGAAGCAGCACTGGGGGGGCACTCAGGAGCTGCTGACACACGGGCCTCTCTCCACCAGCAGGTTCTGCGTCTTAGCACTTCGTCCTAGTCTTGGACAGATTTTTATTCCCATGTCTTTAAAAAAAAAAGCCATGGGAATAAAAATTACTCATTCATAACCTATCTTGAAATTCATGACTTTCCTCTTATGTCGTGGCTTAGAATCTGTGGATTTTTGGCAATCACATGCCAAGATAATCCCCACGTGCCTGCTTGGATTCCTGGAGGCAGAAGTGGAACTAGCGCCCTTGATCTCTTCTTAGCTGTATTGTTCTGTCATTTTGCCCCGCCACCTCTGTTCTTGTTCTGTGTCTGACCTTGGTATTTTTCTCTCTGCTTTTTTGTCCGTTTTTCTCCTCCTTCCCACCCCATCTTCTCTTAGGTTCAGGCTACGACTCAAAACAAGCAACACTGCAGTCCTTATCCTCAGTGTGTCTTTGGGATCCCTAGACACTCGCATCCATGGGCCTCTGGACGCCATTTGGGGAAGTAGAAGGTGTAGTACTTAGCCACTGTCTGCTACATAAATGTGCAGAGAAGAAAATAATCATGTTTCCCCAAACCCCAGAAATAGTTGAAAACCGTATGCAGAGACAATGGGGAATTAGAATAAATATGTTTGCTTGTTACTCTTCTTGTCAGAAATGTCTTCTGCTTTTCCCCTTCCACTTATTGCACAAGGAATGTGATACCAGAATTTCATGTGAACATTTCTCGGGGGAGATTTTTCAAATGGCTGATGAGACACAGTTTCTGTGAGTCTATTGAGAAGTCACTGTTTCTAACCTGCCCAGTCCAACCATTTCTGGAAAATTTACCATGTCTTACGTATATTGAATAAACCCCAAATTTAAAGTCAAATCTGATTTGCCTGTGGCCTTCACCAAACAATCCCAGTGGCTCGATCTCTTTTGCAGATCGCAGACCTCGGCCTTGCTTCCTTTAAGACGTGGAGCAAACTGTCTAAAGAGGAGCACAACGAGCTGAGGGAAGTGGACAGCACCTCCAAGAAGAACGGCGGCACCCTCTACTACATGGCACCCGAGCACCTGAACGACGTCAACGCAAGGCCCACGGAGAAGTCGGATGTGTACAGCTTTGCCATAGTACTTTGGGTGATATTTGCACATAAGGAGCCATATGAAAGTAAGGCATTAGAAGAGTACGATTTTGATATGAACCAACACTGTTACATGGGCTTCAGTGAAGTCAGTGGTGGTTTATAGTTGTTTGTTCTTTTAACATCAGTCTTACCTGCTCAACCGTGAGTTCTCTGGGAGCAAGGACCACATTTGATTTATCCACTGCTGTCTCCTCAGCATCTACAGGCACTGTACCTAGAACTAATAGGTGCCCAGTAAATTTTTGTTGAATGAATAAGCATTCCCATATAGGAATCAGTGATCACAGGATGAATAGGAACCTTGACAGTGTGTCATTAGCTTGAGAAGTGCTGTGAAATTCCAGGGTTCTTCCTAGACAGGAAAGTTTGATTGTTTCTGCTTGTGAGGACTTAGCCTGTCACACTACAAGGCATACACGTCATACTTTCACTCCTTCATTCAAGAATTATATTATATATATATGTATTATACATATTTACTTTTGTCTGTATTTTAAAAAATCAGTTTCAGGCCGGGCGCGGTGGCTCAAGCCTGTAATCCCAGCACTTTGGGAGGCCGAGGCGGGTGGATCACGAGGTCAAGAGATCGAGACCATCCTGGTCAACATGGTGAAACCCCGTCTCTACTAAAAATACAAAAAAAATCAGCTGGGCATGGTGGCACGTGCCTGTAATCCCAGCTACTCAGGAGGCTGAGGCAGGAGAATTGCCTGAACCCAGGAGGCGGAGGTTGCGGTGAGCCGAGATCGCGCCATTGCACTCCCGCCTGGGAAAAAAGGACAAAACCCCCTTGCCAAAAAAAAAAAAAAAAAAAAAAAAAAATCAGTTTCCCTCATGTTCTTTCCATTGTAGTAAAGGGAACAAGGGAAAGGGATTTTTCTTTGGTCCATTCAAGGGCAGGATTTAGATAGGGGGAGCGTCATATCTAATTGGCTTTCACAGCAGGAATCTAAGCACAAGCCTCCAAAAGGGGAATTGGAAGGGGAAGCAGCACTAAGGGGGCAGCAATCATATATCATTATTATATTATGTAGATAATATAATAATTGAATGGAGTGAGTGAGTATAAGATAGAAATATTGTATATCCTTTACTTCTTCATTCAAGAATTATTTCTTTTCAGTCCCTACTGTGGGCACTTTAGTCAGCACTGGGAATATAAAGATGAGTAAGTCATGACTCATGTAGAAGAACAGAGACACTCTTCAGTTTGTTACGTGCATAAACTAATGGATGTTTTCCTACCTATTCATCTTGGGCAATCATCAGCTCTCCCAGGCTGGAGTACAGTGGCACGATCTCAGCTCACTGCAACCTGCACCTCCCGGGTTCAAGCAATTCTCCTGCCTTAGCCTCCTGTGTAGCTAGAATTACAGGCGTGCACCACCACGCCTGGCTTATTTTTTGTATTTTTAGTAGAGACAGGGTATCACCATGTTGGCCAGGCTGGTCTTGAACTCCTGACCTCGTGATCTGCCTGCCTCAGCCTTCCAAAGTGCTGGGATTACAGGCATGTGCCACTGCAACCAGCCGCGAATGCCTCTTAAATCTGTGTTTCTGGCTCTAGCCTGGATATCCACTTGTCTTATGGTCAGATCCATCGCAGGTACCAGAGGAGCCTCCAAAGCAGCATCCCCCAAACACACCCATCTTGTCGACACTGTCCTGCAGCTCGCCTGCTTCACTCCTCTTCATATGCTCAGAAAGTGGCATCGCCACCCTTTTACCAAGGTCAAGGTGCTCAATAAGAAACCTTAGAATCATCCCAGACTTACCCTTGCCTCTCCTCTCTCACATTCTGTCAGATCTCAAAACCTATGAATTCAAGATACATATATGACTCAAGATATATCTGCAACCCATCTACCTCTCTGTGTCCCCACAAGCCTCTGCTTATTTCAAGCTCTCCTCGTTTCTGCGGCAGGCTTCTCCCACCATTCACCATTCATGTGGCAGCCAAAACGGTCGTCCTAAAAGGCGCATGTGACCCTCTCCCTCACCTATTAAAAATCCTTTCCAGACTCTCTGTGGTCTTCAGGATAAAGTTCTAATTCCTCAGTGTGGAATAGAAGGCCTTCATCTTCTGGCCTTTGCTTCCCTACTGGCCTCATCCCTAACCCTCCCTTCTTTGTCAGTGTATAGTTACACTGACTGAGTGAGGAATTTCTGGGACGTGTCATGATCTCTGTAACTCTAGCCTATCAATATCCTGCTTCTCTTGTCTGGAGTCCTCCTCCCTAAGTCACCCTTTCCGATTCTTTACCTGCTGGTTTTTCTGGACTCGACAAAGCATTCCTGGACCTTTCTAGTCAGGGTTGGGCTACCGGAACCCCTTGTACATCCTTCCTTCTTGAATAGCAATGATCAGTCTGTGTTTTAAGTTACTCTCATTAGGCCGGGCACGGTGGCTCACACCTGTAATCCCAGCACTTTGGGAGGCCGAGGCGGGTGGATCACGAGGTCAAGAGATCAAGACCATCCTGGTCAACATGGTGAAACCCCGTCTCTACTAAAAATACAAAAAATTAGCTGGGCATGGTGGCGCGTGCCTGTAATCCCAGCGACTCAGGAGGTTGAGGCAGGAGAATTGCCTGAACCCAGGAGGCGGAGGTTGCGGTGAGCCGAGATCACGCCATTGCA